AATTCCCGACGAAGACCCTCTTGAGGTCCGCCCAGTCGCGGATGCTGTCGTGTGGAAGGAATTCAAGCCATGCCCGAACATGTTCCCCCACGCAAATGGGAAGATATTGGATGATGAAATAGTCATCGTCCACTCCTCCGGCCCGATAGGCGAGCCGAAAGTCTTCGAGCCAGATGCCTGGGTTTGTCTCCTCGGTGTATTTGGTGATGTTGGAGGGAGGTCGAAAATGCTGCGGGAATGGTGCCCTCTGGATGCACCGGCTGAAGGCTCTGGACCGTTAGGGCTAGGGCTCCGGTCGTCCGGCCGGCGACTGCGCCCGGGGCATGTTTCACCGCTTCCCTCAATGGTTTCGCTAGGATCTGTGTCACCTGCCACCGTGTGGCGGTCGTTGTCGCCACGTCGGGCCCGATGCCGGTTGCTGATGATGCTATGAGCGTCCTGGTGCGAGTCGGGCCACTCGCGTGCCGGCTGTCGGTGTGGAGCAGGTGTCCGGTCGGACCGTGGCACTTCTACCGCGCCCCGAGCCGAGCCTGATGGCTGTGGCGGTGAGCGAATAGAGCGATCCGACTAGTGTGTCCCCGTCCCCCCGGTGGGGAGAGAGGGCGCGGGTCGGAGTCATGATGCGGAGCTTTCCGCCTGTTGGATGGCGACAACCACTACTAGAACCCGGAGGTTTCGGTAGACTGCCCGCTCCTGAGGGTCGATGGGCTCGGGAACACCGCGCAGAAGCATCGCTGCAGCAGCAATATTCTAGCCGGCCCGAGCGAACTGTGGGACGTCGTTCCCCTCGTTTACGTTGTCGTGTTGGACCTGACGAGCGCGACCCCGGGCGCCCCCCGCCGGGCCATGCGCATGAGGGGCAACATGCCGCACCGATCGTGTCGGCGCAGGCGGTGGCTGGCTCTGGCGTCGTTGTCGTAGTTCCTCGGTGTGTGCTTGCGCAGATGCGAGGGCCTCCACACGCATGTCCGGGGGGGTGTGAGTTTGTGTGGAGTCGGCAACCACTGGTGGTTGTGCTGGACCACCCGCCATAGAGCATTCCCGGGACGGATGGTGGCGAGACGCCATATCACCGATGCTGGAACCATCGCTCTCGCCCTCGTTACCCAGGAGTTCATGGGAAACGACAGGAGCGGAGCCTGCCATTCCTACGAATTCGGACATGAGGGGGGATGGTGCCAGCATTCTTTGGAGCCCCCGAGCGTAAGCGTCTGCGGAGGACATGTGGCCGTAGGGGAACCGAATGTACAGTGTTCTTGGCGTGGGTGGTGCAGTCCCTTTGAATGATCGGTGGGAGGTAGTAAATAAAGGGCGAATAACGGTACGCGTATTTCTTACAGTGGGGTTTGAGCAGAGAGTTTGCTCGGAATGAAGCGCAGATGCCACGCTATTGAGGTCGCGCGTCCCGAAGTCGATGGAGAACGTCTCTCCGACGGGTGCTGGGTCACGAGTCTCCTCGCGGAGGTGGAGTACGCCGAGCCGATCGGCGACGAAGTCCAGGCTTACGAAGAGGAAGGCCTGGGATGGCTCAAAAACGGGCGTAACCCGCATCCCCGCAGGCGGGAGTGCGGGATACTCCAGTGAGCCGAGGCAAATCGTATCGCCCGAGCCCGCCACGGTGGGGGTGGCGGAAAAATGGGCCATCCGATGACCAAAAAGTGTTGAACGTATAGCGTCCTCCCCACGGACTGCGCCAACTGTCGGTACAGAAAGTGACCAACTAGTGAATATTTGTAGTTTTGCTGTACGTTGTGATCGGAGGTGGCCTAGCACTCAATGACACAGGATATATACTGGTTCGGGCAATGTGACCTACGTCCAGTGTGGGTCGGTCGGTGACTTTATTCCTGAGCCCAGGTGCTCGAAGTCTGTAGTGGGGTTACAAACGGGAAGGAGAAAGGAGGGGTGTACAGGAGGCCCGGTCAGGTCCGACTGGAAGGGCCGAGGGTGACCGGAACTCCGCTATGAACTAGGTGTTCAAGCGTGTGCTTGAGGGGTTTTTGAGCTATCGATCTATTGAGCCTGGACTTGAAGAAGTGGACCTATGGGGAAAAATCGATCTCCCTGTTTGGAGGGAACGCATCTCCTTTTATAGATAAAGGGGGTGGCTTTACAGGTGAGAGGGAGAGAGTACGGATGTTTCTAAGTCTTGTTGCCCACGCCGAATGAGGGTAGCGATGATGGTCGGCACGCATAATACTGTTGATGTCGCTGTAGAATGTCAGGTGCACATGGGAGGTCGGGTTGGCTTCTTCAGGAAGAATGGACGTCGGTACCTGCAAAATACCATCGACGTGTGGGGGGCCCTACCACATGTACTAGGTATGGTGAATCCTGGCATTCTCCATCGATGCCCAGAGGCACGTGGGGAGCCTTTTTGCCGTACGGGAGCCCCAACGGCGCCTACAATACTGTTTGTGTCAGGTTGGTTGCGGAGCACTGTTCCCGCAGGCGTTCAGGGTATGGTCCTGGTATCGTGGTTTGACCTTTGTGCGCTGCTTTCTCCGTTCGCCCTTGGTCCCTTCCGAGCGGGAATCTCCGGTCGGATGGTTCCAGTCGGTGCTGGTCGTGCCAGTCGGAGAAGAGCGGTAAGCAGACTTCTTATGAGTCTCTGGTCGGAGACGCGGGGTCGGAGTAGGAAGCAGCGTTTTGGGCCAGACCTTCCGATCGGAGAGTCCACCCGAAGGCGGCTGGCGCCCGAGGCGAGTGCTCCGGTCGGAGAGGTGGGCCGAAGAAGTTATCGAGCGGGCGTTCGTTCTTTCGGTAGACCTTCGGTCGGCGACCGGTCTGTCCTTCCGGCCCGTTGTTTTTTAGACTTTCAGGCCGGCCCATGAGCTACAGGCTGTTCTCCTGGGTCGAGCCCGGGCGTCGAAGCCCGTCCCCGAGGGACCCCAGGTTTATGGACCCGACATGCGGGTTTTGGGATCCAGGGCGCAGCCACAAAGCCGCTCGACGGCGGCGCGCTCAGCCTAGGGCGAGCGCGTGCGCCGGCGAGGGGACCCGCAGCTGCGCCGCCACCTTCTTCCTCCGACTGCCACAGGCCGCCGTCGCGTCGTCGTTTCTCTGGATGCGACGCTGAGGAAGAGAAAGGAAAGAGGAGAATGGCTAGGGTTTTTCGAGGAAGAAGCGCAGCGTCCGGATTTGTATCTCCGATCCACGCGCGCAGCTGTCGGATGAGATCCGACGGTCACCGCTCACTGGACTGAAAACGGCCCAAGCGGGAAGTCGAAATCCTGGCCCAGCCCAGGTTGCGGCCTGGGCGCGGGGAGCGCGCGCGTGCGCGAGTTGGGCCTGGGCTGCGCTGGAGCTGTGCTGGGCCGCGCGCATTGGGCTGCAATGCACAGTACCATTTTTCATTTTTGTTTTATTATTTTCGGAAGCATTTTTTATGAATTTTATTATGTTTTGACAGAGATTTAATCGTCAAAATGTAACAAAATTCATCAAAAACGTCTCACATCTGCACCCCTCTCTCTCTCTCTAGTTCCTCGTCATTGTTCATGTTCTAGGATCTTTTATCCCGAATAGAAAAGGTAGTACCCGCTAGATCTACGGCTAAGGTCCTGTTATTTCTATCATTTAACTCTAGCACTATGCAATCTTCTCAACTCTAGCTACCCTCCTTTGTTCCTGAAGAGGGGTTCCCTGCTCGGTCACCTCGTACTCCTTTTCGCAAGTGGAACAAATCCAGTCCTCAACGCAAAAGTAGTAGACTTGCTAACAAAGCCAAAAGCAAAATTGAAAAAGGGACAATTCAAGTAGCGCAGGAGCTTTTAAGAAACTTGGTGATTTATCTCCTAAGTTGGAACCATTTGCTGCTGCTCGGTTTGAACAATTTGCACAACACTTTGTTCGTTCGCTCATTAAGGAAAATATGGAAGCCCTCGAAGCACTGGTCGAGCATGGACAACAACTAAAAAAGAAGAGGGCAACAAAGACCTACTCGAAGCAGATTATTGGCGATGGTCAAATGGCTTGAGTTCTTTTTCCTTTTAGGCGTTCCAAAAAGGTGAAGGCATCATGTGCTAAGGCGCTAAGCTGTTGCTCCCCTTCCTGTCTAGAGAAAACAAGCTAGTGGGTTAGTTGTTGTGTCTTCAGAGCAAAGGGTAGCTGGCGGGTGCTGCCTTCTACGGTCAAATTCAGTTAGCTTTTCTTTTAGCGTTAGTTACCAGAGGTCCTTAGTTTGTCTCAAGTTGTTCAAAGTTTTTTCTCCTAAGTGTGTTTTGTGCATGTTGTTAGTAGAGTCAGTGTTAGAGTGAGTGAAGGCGAAGCTGGTAGTTTGGTTTTGTTTGTTTTCGACTGAGTTGTTTTTAGTGTTGCTTCGTGCAATAGAGGTTTGTTAAGTTTTAGTAGTCGGTCTTCGTGCTTGAGTTGTTGGTCGTTGTATTTCTAGTCCGGTGGTTTTTTTGGCCTAGTTTCCACTCAATAAACTGGGCCGTTGTCTTTTTTTTGTTCTTCTTCTAATAAAAATTGCGACCAATCTTTTGCCGTCCTTTCTAAAAAAATATATCGCATTAGCTCTTCCTTGCACAGCACCGCCACTTACTAGGCTGTAGATACTTGTTCTGGAACTATCTTCTGTTCCGTTCTTTCCATATATTCCACCAAAAGTAGATAATAGTACCATCAAACCTCCTCTGATCTTGGTCAATTTTGGCTCTGCACTTACGCCAGTAAGTATGCAGGGATCCCGCCATCCCAACAGCGTCAATCACCGAAAGGCCTAGCCATTGCTTTATGATGAACCAAACTTGTCTCGTGAAGACGCAGTCCTTGTACAGCAGATAGTTCTTGCCAACGTTATTGTATAATTTTCACGCATACACCAAAATGTCCAAAAAGAAGCTGTGGCACACTATCAGCTCTAAAATCTCAACACGCCACTACTGTCTTTGCCGCCTGTCCTAGCTTTAACCACACTGCCCATATATTCGACACAACACATAAGAAATCCTTCACACTTCAGCTAACTGACAACGATCCTTCAAGCAGAGGTGATTCTAAAACTTGTCTCTAATTGCTTGCAACTCTTTCAGAGCATCTCCGATTGACGGGCGATCTGTTGGCACCTCCTCTGAACAGCAAATCCCAACCTGCAGAATTGAAGTGATGCAGGCAATTCTCACGTTTCTCATAGTGCTGGAGTTTGAGCTGATTGGTTCATCATCTTTTGTGTCTATTAGTAGCTGTTGATCTACAATAACACTGACTTTGTCTAGTAGTGCCATTTGAACATAGTTTCGAAGCCCGATGGCTCCTCCAAATTCATTGTCTGTTGGTCTTTTTCCAGTCATCATCTCCAGCAGTAGTATGCCGAAGCTGTATACATCACCATGAGTGGAGACTTCATTGCCAAGTCCATACTCTGAAACCAAACATGAATCCATTTTAATGAATTTGTTTTTATGGAGAAAATTTTGATATATGTTCATACAATAACATTAGTATAAAGATGATTTCTAGACCACTAAGTGTACATATTTATTTTAGTGTCTAACTGTGGGCGTGTTTGGGACTGCGGCGGCGCTATGCGCTGCTGTATCGCGACCGCGGCCTCCAGCCCACGGCATGGAAGATGGGAGCGCTAGTTCAATCTTGTGGTTTTTTGTGCCTTGCGCGGTGAAAAGCATCAACGATACCACAAGGTGTTTTGTGGAATTTTTTTGATTCTCACTGTGGGGTGGCTGCAGATCCGATTTAATCGGAAACAAACACGCCCTACAGATTTTAGAGATTTTAGCTCGTTCACATTCTTCAAATTTTAGTTACTGTTTAGCTATATTTACATATCTAAGTAAGTAAAACACCCAAAGTACCTTAAATTTAGTTCTAGCCTACATTGTAGATTAATTAGAAGAGAGCGATTAGATGCACACCTGGAGCTGCATAACCAACTGATCCTCTCATTGATGTCCAGCCACTTGATTCATCTTTGTCTTCATGCAAGAACCGTGCTAGCCCAAAATCACCAACGTGAGCAACCATGTCACAATCCAAGAGAACATTGCTTGGCTTAAGATCACAGTGAACAATTGGCACTGGTGTATGTTTGTGTAGATAATCAAGCGAGGATGCCACATCAATTGCGATGTGTAGCCTTGCAATCAGTTCTAGTGACTTCTGTTCACCATATTCTTCCATGATATGTTGGTGTACCCATTGGTCCAAATTTCCATTTGGTAGAAACTCATAGATAAGGGCCTTGAAGTCATGGCCTTGAAAATCAATACTTGAGCAGACGGTTAATATCTTTACAAGATTTCGGTGTCGAGCACATCTCAAAGTGTTGCATTCTGCAAGAAAACTTTGAGATGCACCACGTTGCAAGAGGTTGAAAACCTTAACTGCGACAACTGCATCCTGACCATTTACTCTCATTCTACCTTTGTAGACTGATCCAAAGCTCCCTGCTCCAATGAGGTTTTCAGATGCAAAACCATTTGTTGCATCGGCCAATTCAGGAAAGGAAATCCTCACGTATTGTTCACTCAAGGTGGACCTTTGTATGTTTATTGCTTTTGTCTTCTGGCTCTTTTGATGGAGTACGTATAGTACAAATACTAGTGTGACAAAAACACATGCACTGCATATGGAGACTTTCATGGCAAGTTTCTGATGTGTTTTGCTGGTGGTGTGGTTCAAGCAGGGTGGTAATTTCAGTTGACGGATACCACCACATAGGCCATCATTCCCAGTGATTAAGATTATAGTTGCATTCTCAAATACCCCATCTGTTGGAACTCCACCATGGAGTTTGTTGAACGAGAGATTCAATGATGAAATACCCGTTAATCTGGCAAGGGTCTCAGGTATGGCCCCAGATAAATTATTGTAGGAAAGATCAAGTGTGAAGAGGCCCCTTAGAGTTCCTAGTGATACTGGAATTGTCCCTTGAAGGATGTTTCTAGATAAATTGAGATATACCAGACTTTGACATTCACTGATAGAGTTTGGAATCTCACTAGAAATCATATTATTAGAAAAGTCAATCTCATTGAGATTTTTTAGGTTGCCCACTTCTGATGGCAACGTCCCTGATAAGGAATTATATGCAACATTCATGGAAAATGACAACGTTGATATGAAAAATAGTTCTTTAGGTATTGATCCGGAAAGGCTGTTGTGAGAGAGATCCAAAACTTCTAAAGGGCAGTTTTTGAGACTTGAAGGTATAGGTCCACTAAAGTCATTAACACTAAGAAGAAGTTTAGTAAGTTGAGTTAGGTTGCCTAGGGCAACAGGGATGGGACCTGACAAAGTGTTTTTTGGTATAGATAATCTTTCCAACTTCTTGAGTTTGCCGAGAGATGATGGAATGGCGCCTAGAAGAATATTTTTATCCATATCAAGTGTCTTTAGGTTGACAAGGTTCCCTATTCCTCCCGGTATTGTTCCAGTTATCTTATTGTCTTCTATGCTAAACAATTCCATTCCTATCGACAAATTAGCAATTGATTTTGGTAGCACGCCTTTGAGTTTGTTGGAATCCAAAGATATTTTTCTCATATTGCTACAATTGGTTAGACTAGACATGAAGCCCCAATCAGCATCATTTGTTGCTTCAAACTCACTTTTTGCTAGCAACACTACGGACAGGTTCATTTGGTGAATTCCCAAGCACTGTGGAATTGTTCCAGACATGAAGGTGCTCACTATTTCAATATTTTGAAGCATGGAAGCATTGCAAATGGATGACGGGAGGTTGCCATGAAATTGATTGTCTGATATCATAAATCGTTTGAGTTTGGATAGCTTGCTGCCCGTATCAGGTGGGAAAACACCAGTCAAGTTGTTGTAATCGAGAACCAGAACTTCAAGAGAAGAGAGGTTGAACATCGAACGGGGCAATGATCCTTGTAGCTCGTTATTGTTTAGATAAAGACTGATGAGGGCATGGAGGTTTCCAATGGAATGGGGTATCGAACCTGAAAGATTGTTGTCCGTGAGAGAAAGAACTGTAAGAAGCTCAAGATTTCCTAGCGATTCTGGAATTTGACCTACGAAACCGTTAACCTGGAGATCTATGATTACTAGCGAAGAAAGGTTTCCTAACCAAGGACGGATGGTTCCTTCTAGCTTGTTTGCTCCCAACTCAAGAACACCAAGAGACGAGAGGCCTTGCATTGGTGGAATGCTTCCTTCTAGTTGATTTAATGCAAGACTAAGAATGGTCAATGCCGAGAGGTTTCCAAGTGAAGCAGGGATTGTTCCAGATAATTGATTGGCACCTAGAGATAAACGGGTGAGATTGACAATGCTACCTATCTCTATTGGGATTTCTCCTGTCAAGTTGTTATATTGTAGGACGAGCTCTTTCAGACTCACAATGCTTCCAATGCTAGAAGGGATTTTTCCTGTAAGACTATTTTCGTCTAGGTAGAGCTGCTTGAGATTTTGCAGTGAGCGGAACTCGCTTGGTAGTTCACCCTGTAACTTATTAGTATCAAGAGCGATGATGACAAGACGACTGCAATTGGCAAGTGATGGTGGAATATATCCTTGGATAGAGTTTTGACTAAGTACAAGAGTCTCAAGGTCATGGAGATTACCAAGCTCTGGTGGCAGGATCCCATGGAAGTGATTCGACGAAAGGTCGAGCTGCCTCAAGTAGGTTAGGTTGCCCAAAGCCGTGGTGATGGTGCCAACAAGGTTGAGCCTGGTGAGGTTCAACGCCACCACACGGCCAAGTCGTCTTCCTTTCAAGCCGCATGTCACACCGGGCCACTGGCACATGCGAACAGACATGTTGCCCCATTGCACCAGGGCTCCCCACGCGTCCATGCTCACGTGTGACTTGAACGACATGAGCGCGCCATGGTCGGTGATGTTGCTGCTTGTGGACACAGAGACAGGAGAACATGCAAGGAAGACAAAGGTGAGCAAGAGCGGCTCTCGGAGTAGAGCCATTGCTGCTGATGGAGCTCTGAATTTGGTTGTTTGTTTTAGCAAGGACTGGGATGGCTGGGCAGGGTGTGTTTGTTTTATAGCAGAAGGCAACTCGTGGTACCTCTTATTTATTATATTCAAAGGTAGCACTTCCCACTAGATTCATCTAGAATCTACCTGTAGTCAAAATTTTCAAAGACCAGAGACGAAAACTAGATCAATTTGATGTACACAGAGTTGGCACATTAGCGTCACTGTCCCTCCAAATAGCAGCTTGTGGGAAGAAGACGACTCGTATATACTTTGAACGAGTTCAGTAGACTTTTGGTCAGTTTCACCACAAGGGAAAGGAAGGGATCCTAAATGAATGAACAAAGAAGTCAGAAGACCTTGTTGTCGATGGCTCGATGCCGATCAAAACGACGTGAAGAAATTTAAGATATGCGTAGCGTGCATTGACGAGTCACCAAGGCAAATAAAAGCTGATAATGAAAGAAAGTAAGCAGTGGCCACTATAGTCGACGATTGCAAAAGGCACGATGGCAACTTGCCCCGGAGCCGGAGTCCGGAGATATGTTGCCCAGTGTGGACGGGAACCGGCACGAGACTGTGGACCGTGGACCAGGCAGAGCCGCAGAGGCTGGCATGTTTCAGACCGTTGTTGCCCCTGAGATTGCACTGTAGGAGTACAAACCAAAACTCTGAATGAAGCTCCTGTCAGCATTTCAGACCATTTTAGCTCTGTCGGAAAGGCTAGAGCGCATGAATCCGCGAAGGATATGCAAAACAAAGAAAATTTTGGAACAGCTCTGAAAGTGAAAGTGAGCATGTTTCCACACGTGCATACGCAATGCGAGCAGGGTTGACTTGACTATGAACAAGTGGCAAAGGAGGCCTGGATGCGAGCAGGGTTGAATGATCGGCCGGTCTTTTTTAATCTTGTGAGTCCCATATATGCAACTCAGCAATCCAGGTGGTCACTTTATGCCGCTAATTTTTTTGGCAACTCACGACGGTTTGGTTATTTAAAGTGAACTAAAAACCTTGGGAAAGGAAGGGATCCTAAATGGATGAACAAAGAAGTCAGAAGACCATGTTGTCGATGGCTCGATGCCGATCAAAACGACGTGAAGAAATTTGAGATATGCGTAGCGTGCATTGACGAGTCACCAAGGCAAATAAAAGCTGATAATGAAAGAAAGTAAGCAGTGGCCACTATAGTCGACGATTGCAAAAGGCACGATGGCAACTTGCCCCGGAGCCGGAGTCCGGAGATATGTTGCCCAGTGTGGACGGGAACCGGCACGAGACTGTGGACCGTGGACCAGGCAGAGCCGCAGAGGCTGGCATGTTTCAGACCGTTGTTGCCCCTGAGATTGCACTGAAGGAGTTCAAACCAAAACTCTGAATGAAGCTCCTGTCAGCATTTCAGACCGTTTTACCCTCTGTCGGAAAGGCTAGAGCGCATGAATCCGCGAAGGATATGCAAAACAAAGAAAAAAATGGAACAGCTCTGAAAGTGAAAGTGAGCATGTTTCCACACGTGCATACGCAATGCGAGCAGGGTTGACTTGACTATGAACAAGTGGCCAAGGAGGCCTGGATGCGAGCAGGGTTGAATGATCGGCCGGTCCTTTTTAATCTTGTGAGTCCCATATATGCAACTCAGCAATCCAGGTGGTCACTTTACGCCGCTAATTTTTTTGGCAACTCACGACGGTTTGGTTATTTAAAGTGAACTAAAAAACTTTTTAAGCCTAAGCAAGAAAACAGGTATGTAGATACCTTGCAGAAGTCGTAAGGCAAGGGTAGGGGGAGCATATATAAACCCAAACTCCTCAAACGTCGTGCTAACCAAACAAGATGCGAGAATAAGAGTAAAAGGAAATGTGTACTGCAGCCTACGGCGACCCCATCTGGGTCTAGGCTGTCAGCGTATTTTGATGACATTTGTTTTCATATGAAAAAGACCATAAACCATTCTCATCATGTTGTACAGTACATGTGTACATTGTTGTGATGATAAGCACAGGACAACTGCACAGCTGAACAAATAGTTCATGCCAATGTTATTCTACCAGTTTCTAACTCATGAGTCGTGATGCACCACTAGAATAATCTCAGCCTGCCACAATGTGCTTACACCTTTCCGCCTGAGCAAAATTCAACTACCAATGTCACTGCACACAGCATATGCAGTTATACATAATCCACATTTTTCACTATCTTAGTTCTAATCTCAGTTTAGAAAATAAGAGAGGCAATCTATTTTAGTCTATCTCAGCTCTGTTTCACCAGTACATCATACCTCTCTCATATCAAGTAACAACATGAATCTCAGCACTCAGCGCTCTATGGTTTTTCTATCGTTTCCTTGACCGCCTGGGAGCCGCCTCCTCTTCGCTCTCACTGTCATCGTCCCGAAGGGCACTTCTACCATACCTGTCCCCAGACTGGGCTCTGGCTCCATCTGCTCCAGAGTTTCCAGTGTTATCATGGCCCCTGCTGCCCTGGTCTGATGACGCTGTTTCGAACCTGTCCCCACGGTCACCCCCTGGCCTTCTCTGTTCCCGCTTCGCAGCACGGTTATTTGGAGGTGGTGGGGGCATGAAGGGCGCCATACCCAAGGGGCGATTAGGCCGTCCAGGCCCGCCCATTCCCATACCACCCATCAGTGGACCACGGCCAGGGCCCATCATCATGTCAAGACCCAGAGGGAAAGGCTGCGGAGGCCTGCCGGGGAAGCCCATCCCGGGCATCGGGCCTCTAGCAAAGTCCCCAGGGAACCTTGGGCCAACAAATGGTGGGAAGCCGCGTGGCATGCCAAAAGGATCAGGCATGCCGAAACCACCGCCGAAACCAAAGCCATCACCCATCATGTTGGGAGGGAAGCCACGCCCTGCCATCATTGGCCCACGCATCATCGGCATTTGAGGCGGCCACATCATCCCCCTTCCTCTTCCCCTCCCTTGAGACTCTTGGCCGTTGCCTTCTTCTTCCTCCTCGCTTTCCTCTTCCTCATCCTCTTCATTGTCGTCAAACAACACAATATCTTGATTATCAGCTGCCTCATCAGCACTGACTCCCTTTGCTTTTTCCTCCTCTCGCTTGGCCTCTGCTGCAATTAGCATAGCCTGAACCCCCATATTCAAAAACATCAGACACAGGTAATGGGCACTTCAAATCAAACAAGTGAAAAAAAGAAAAAGGCAACATATGGTAACTAAAATAATATATATCAAGTAAGCACAAGTGAACCAGGCCTTTCAACAAAAATGTACCATGCTATTTCTCTTTAAGCAAAATAGCACTAGCACAGACCAGCATGTGGAGCTGTGTGCTACTGCTTGTAGAAGAGTGTATATGCATTGTTAGTGCTTATTCCATGAAGAGAATATAATGTGCCATTATTAAATTTTAGTCAATCTATAAAAGAAGTAGCAATTATCTCCATTAGAATAAACCTTTAGTGTAAAGAAATATTGTAAATTTCAGTGATATCTTCCACCTCTTTATAGCACAACCCTGTTATATGAATCTTATATGCACATAAATTATGGTCACTCGCAACCATGATTTGACATTTACAAAACTAGTTTAGAGTTAAGAAACACAGCAAATGGTGTTCAAATGTGACTAGACCAAATCAGCAAATCCTATAGTGTCAGTCGTGGTTGCAATGGACTAGGTTGATATGCCTGCTAGTAAGAAAACAGAAAGGTAACGGGAATGTTAAAACAAGATACAACAACAACAAAGCCAAAGTCCCAAACAAGTTGGGGTAGGCTAGAGTTGAAACCCAACATGAGCCCCTAGTCACGGTTCAGGCACATCAATGTTAAAACAAGATAAATAGGCAATAAATGCATAACCTACCGTAAGTTCACTGTCTGGCTCCAGATAAAGCAGAGAAGCCAACTGTTCACCAATGAAAGGTTCTAGTTCCTGGCAATCTCTGCTGATCTGCATTAATCAGAAGTGAATTGAACAATTAAATCCTGAAAACTTTTTGAGAATGTAGATATACAAAAAAAAGGTATACGATTTCGACAATCTAGTCAATCATCAGTGTGGGTACCACTAGATGTTACTTTTCTTTCTGGTCTACATCAATTTAGAATATCCTTCCGGCAAGATTAATTTTCCAGCTAGTGTTTTAATCATTATACAAACTGTACAAGAAGTTTAACCAACCAGACAAACATAACACAATATTATAATCTCTGGTGAAATATAGATCTAGACAATAAGGATGAACAACATATGTATGGTTTATAGTTAAAGCAAAGTCATCTCAGTCTTTCGAGGCAGGTTTGACAATGGCTTATTCAACATTGTGATAAAGAACAATCAAGATGGAAATATATCAGAAAATATGAAACAAGACAGACCGTGAAATAGTGCTATATGTATAAGCTAAACCAACAGTTTCCACACTTTGCCATTTTATACATATAAAAAACATAAGGCGTCATATGTCAAGGAAGGTCATTGAACACCTGAGACAAGGTGATCCACATACCTTAACAGGAAGGTTATCATTGTATGGATTGCGGAGATGATGGGTTTTCTGAAATGACAACTCACAAAGCTGCAACGCAAAAACTGTTGTAAGTATAGACATAATGATGATATTAGACAACAGGTTAAGGCTTTCATGCAAAAATAGATGGCAAGAAATATTCAATGAGAATTCTTATCAGCCAAAACTTCAATTAATGATTTGGTGAATGATATAACCATGCTTGTAAACTCAACATCAATTTTATAGTCCAGTTCAAAAAAAAAAGGATTGAGTTAAATCCATTAGCAGCCCCTGAGGGGTGCCACTTAGGTCCACGAACTTTGAAAACGTTTGGGTCTCTAAACTTGTTAAGTGGTGCACCACACATCCCTAAACTTGTAAAACGGTGCACAGCAGGTCCATTTCTGGACCATACGGACCACTGCAGTGCACCGCTTAAAAAGTTTAGGGACCTAGAAATGTGTTTTCAAAGTTCGTGGACCTAAGTGACAGCCCT